ACATACAGAAGCTGTCACCAAATAGGCCCACCAAGGTCTTCACTTTCTGAGGCATCCGAGGAAAGCCCGGATGTCGACCATAGTCCTCACCAGTTTCTACAGGTGTGCTGTGGAGTCCATCCTCACAGGGTTTATTAACATCCCGTTAAGCCATCTGGTCTACATACAACAAGAAAGCACTGCAAAAATGCTGTCATTTTTGCAAAGAACTCTAGTCATCCTGCACTGCCACTTTTCTCTTTCCTGCCCTCTGGTAGGAGACTCAGGGCAATCCACACATGCACCATAAGATTCAGGGGCAGCCTTTACCCCAGTGCGGTCAGACTGCTCAACATATGTGACATATAGATACTGTTTTCATGGGCAGTAATAACAATAATGTTCACAATGTGCAATATATATTAATAGTGTGTTGAACACACTTATGTGCAATATCGCAAACACACAAAACACTTCACATTTGCACTCTTATGATCACTCATGGTCACTGTCAATAGTACACGTTATTTATTGTTAGTTGTTTATTGATTATTTAATGTTAGTTATTGTAATGTTGCACTGCTTTGTAAATTGTCTAGTCTTTAAAAAAGGAATTAAAGAATTCCTTTGTACTCTGTCACTGTACTTTGTGCACATGACAATAAAAAGTTTGAGTCCTTTGAATCCTTGAAACAACACATTAGTAGCCTGCAGTATGTATAACATTATGCATTTTTGGGTAGTCTAAACTGAAAGATTCATCTTCATGCCCCCAGACATTAAAAGTGCAGTATGTAATGTAAACTGCTCATTAAAGGTGATTAAAGGCTTATATTTCTAACAGTAGACTGAAATTTAAAATACCCACAAAAAATTATAGTAATGGAGTAATTATGGAGTCAATACCAAAGCTAAACTCCAGGCCCTCTGTAACCCTGACCAGGATAAGCGTTGAAGATGAATGAATGCCTATGTTTGTGTGTATGCTATATTAGCACTCTTACAGTGTTTTCCCCACAATAACATTATTCCATTTCTACCAGTCATGCCTTTCTCCTATGATTTTTATTCATTGTTTTGTTATAAACATTCATAATTCGCCCCTGTGCCTTTAAGTAATTTCCCTTGAGAATCACTGCAGCATATTCACCCATGTTGAACGAAGACGTAAACACAGTTTACTAAATGGGTGCTTACTCATTACAGGCAGCTAGAAACAGGATTTGTTTGTAATCGATAAGAAGAGTGGCTTAAAGGCAGATTGTAATGCATTACTCATACCGCAGTAATGATACAGACACAAAGCCTAACCAGACTATGACATGAAAATAAGCTTTTACTAACTTCATAAATAAACCTGCCAGTCTTGTGACCATTGTGTCTTCATTGCACATGATGTCTGTTTTATCTTCTGGCAAAATTGCTTTATTTGGCACTCTGGAAAATCAGAGTTTCCTGCCAAAGCTATTTGTGTTGCATAATATTGGACAAATACTTTTTGATGGTCATTGAGAAAAGCAAGCGCATGGCAGAGCGGCTCCGAAGGTAGCACTGTAGCCTTACACACCTGGAGGGGTAGGGGTTTGAATCCTGCCTCTGCAGGATGGTGGAAAAAGATAAAATCATTTTATTTTAGAGAGAATGAATGTTTAAGAAATAATACTTAGTTTAGGACTCAACATTTATTATGTTGCTCAAAACTCTTTTGCTAAATTTATGTTATAATTATATAATTAATTATATATACACACACACACACAGACCCTCACTCTGCCCATATCGAGTAACATCTGAGCGTCACAATGGCACTGGGTGTCTCCTGGGGAAAAGAATAGCTGTGTTTTGTCTTCATTGCCTTCTATAACTCTCAAGTCAAAGACATGCTCTCTGCAGTGGATTGTCTGGTTCGTGACCCTTATTTTTACCCTGCCCAGCCTGGGTCTCCAGCCTTCCTGGTGTGTTCACCATCTCTGCCCTGAGTTTGAGCTTTTCAGAGGCTTTTGTTTCCTCCGTCCTCCATCTCTTGGATACCTCGTCTGTCTGAGTACTCAGCCTCACTGGCCTTTGCCGTTTCTTAGTTTTAGTTTTCTTTCTACTCAGATCACAGAAGAACCACAACAGGATCCAGTCTCTGCACCTCCTTTCATGGTTGCTTCTCTGTCTTCTTCAGCTGTCGACTGTTAATTGCCTCGAGGCTCAATCGATGGAGAACAATGGTCATTACAGCTGCCAAGCATGGAGGAGCATTGTTAGGGAGGGTTGACTTTGCCGTAGAAGATAAGATGAGCAGATAGTTTCGCGAAAATAATGCAGTCTGCTGACATGGTGTATTTCCACCTAAAGGAGCTTAAAAAGCAGTAAATGCTTTACACTAAAGAAACAAGCAATTAAAGTCTGTTAAATAAATCAATAAACATGCATTTTAGAAGTAAAGCACTATGGGATATTTCTTCTTGGGAAGATGTCATCCAGTCAATTTATTCCACGTTCCTGTCAAAACTGATTTTGGTGACCCTAGGTGTCTCAAATATTCAATTAAAATATTTATTCCTTCATTTTCTGTTTATTTGTTAATTAAGTGAAATTATTATTATTTGTGCAAAGTTAGATTTGCTTTTAAGATCACAAACCACTTAACAAATCTATTTACCTGCAAGGCATCTATGCAATTCATTGAGTATCATTAATTTCCATTATCTCCTTTAAAATTACAGCATTATTCTTTGAGTAATTAAGAAATTTCATTACCTTAGGGAATAAATGCAACAACTTATGAGATAATTGCTAAGTATTAAATAAATTAATTTCTGGGAGCATTTTATTTATCCTTTCACATGGTTAATTGGAGAAAAGATGAAAAAAAAAATATGTGTTCCTGTAAGTGTATTGCACTCTCTGCATTTTAATGATTGTATATCTACCAAATCATCCATTCATCTTCCAAAAGCTTATCCAGTACAGGGTCCAGGTTACACAGGCCAGAGACTAGGGAACACCCGCATAGCATGCCAGTCTATCACAGGGTGCACTCACACATCCCTCATCATGGACAATTTAGAGTCACCGATTCACTGAGAACCATATTTTGGATGAAAATGGAGTACCTGGAGGAAACCAACACTATAGAGGAGCTAGTTTCTATCGGAAAAACCCTACCCATCCCTAATCTTAACCATAAGTAACCAAACAAAATACAACACTTTTAGTATTTTGATTGCAGTCACACATTTTTATAACATTTTCCCCTCGTAGGGAAAGAAAAATGTTCCCCACAATGTCAAAAAGTAGGCTTTAATCATATTGCAATGTAATATATACAGGGTACACCCTGAACATTCTACTGCCTAATCATCTGATCATAGGGCATCAAGAAAAACACACACACACACAGAGTAATCATGGCATTCAAATTCCTAATTTATGTGTTTGATCGTTCCCACTGACCTATCATGCTGCCCTTCTTAATTAAATATACATAATTATTAATTTACACAAATTTACTGGAAGAAGCACATTTTCAGGACAGCCAGATGTATTCTGATGAAGGTCCTGTCATGCTGGAGAGTTAGGCACAGAGTGGATGACAGATCAGTCTTTTCTTCTATGTCTTCCAGAAGCTATGATTTTTTCATTTAAATTACTTCTTTATTTATTTTGATTTTTATTTTAGAAATTTTTCAACGAAATTTTGAATGAAATGGCCCTATCCGCCACATTTTTGCCTTGCCAAGACATAGAAGATTCAAATTCGACATATATATAATTTTCACAGATCGCGTGTCCTTCAGATGCCATAACCATATGCCACGTCATCTTCAAAGGAGTTAAGGTGCCATAAAACAGGACTCTTATCGCTCACATAAAAATACCCGGCTAATTTGTAAGAGGTTTGCTTCCATGATCCAGTGCTACTTTCCCTTGATTACAAAGCCCAATCTTCTATCTGCGTGCAACTCTCCTGTCAAGCAGGCGGGTTCATCAAGCTCTGAAAAATGTAGAGCTGGTTCTCTTCATGGGGTCCGGGTAGAACTGTAGCATTCGCCAAAGCTGCCCATTGTAGAAGGTGCGTAGGCGATCTGTCACATTTTTTCTGCGCTGGTAAAGATCTGCCTGTACACCCCATCTTGTATCTGCCTCACTTTGATAACCTTACAGTATGCGATTTGTTTTTCATGTTGAAAGGAAGTGGGCTGCAGCATTTTGAAGAAACAAATGTTCTTTTTATTTTGAGCAAACTGGAAAAACATCAGTCACACAAATTTTGCCTTGCAAAATGAAAGAAGTATTTGTTCTGTTGTAAACATTGCTGTTGTAATAAACAAGAAAAAGAAATCAACAGTCAAATTCAAAACACCTTTGTAGCAAAAACATTCAACTCCTGACTTCTACTTTGGTAGTGAATAACTTTTTTTGTTATTAATATATATTTAGATAAGGTAGACAGGACTTGTGGATGTCCTTGACTTCATCGTAAGTGCTTGATCGGTAAAAATCAGTAAAATCTGCAACCACGAGTGCATCTGAAATAGCGATGCCAATGCTCTGTGAAACCCGACACTGAATTTCGGATAATAAAATTAAGAGCAGACCGGAGAGCAGAGAGTGTGAAGTATTTTCTACAATTTTCACTCAACAACATGAAAGAACCAGGCCCAAGAACACACACTTAGAGAATGTGTTTGTCTTGCTGAAAACAATGGCATCACTGTCAAGCAGTCAAACCGTTTAGCGAAAGAAAATGAGTATGAGCTACACTTCTGTACCAATCAGAGAAGGCGTCAGAATATCTAAACAGTGTGTAACTGCCTTCAGCTCTTGGTGCCTGTTTGCTAGGAGACAATGAAAAGAATATAAAGCTTCCTTTACATAGTAAGAGAGCAATTACTTCAGGAACCTCTGTCAGACACTTTTTCCCCCCACAGTAAAATCCAAGCTGAAAACCCACAGTTATAACGTAACATTTAGATTTTTTTTCCTTAAAAAAGATTTTTTGAGGAAAAAAAAGAAAAAAATACAACCACTGATTGTGAACACTTTAATGATCACTGAACTGATTAAACTGCCCTTGCACTGACTAGCCACAAAAGAAATTAAAAAAAACACTTTGAAATAAAGTCTTATCATTTTGAGGACAAAAAAAGCAGTAATTAGCATTCTAGCATTTAGCGAACAACACTTATGCTGGCACTTTGGCCAGCTGTAAAATGAGGGAACCGATGCCACTACACAGGGTTCAGCCTAATCTGTCAGCTTGGCAATGTCCCAGGCTAATTCTCACCACAACGTCTAGCTTAAGTCTTTGCCTTAATTGCTTCCTTTTTTAATCATCGTTTTCATCATAGTCAACACGTCCAAAGCTTCTCTTTGAGCATCCACGTAAATAGCACAGAAAATCGTTAAATACATCATTCAAATGTCTTCTGCTGGATGTTTCCCCCATCTTCGTTTTTTTTTTTTCGGTAGTAGTTTCATGTTAGCTTCCCCCTCGTGGGATTCAAATTCTGCAGTCAGTCGAAAAAGGGAGTGTTTGAAAATGGGGCTAAGAGAACAAATTCCTGCCCTCGCTGCTGCCGTACAGGTCAGCTAGCTTCTTGAACTGCGGTCCCCATTCGCTGAGATAGTCATAGTTCTGGTCGGAGTCTATGCTCAACGACTCCAGCGAGCTGAGGGACTCTGCCACCGAGCCGCTACCCTCGAAGGCGTATGTTTGGAGGGAGTCATACGGGGGAGCCGACGGGTCCACATCGGCATCCTTCAGCCGGTCCCAGATGAACTCTCGGAAGATGACATTGTCCGGTAGGGTCTTGTACGCGAGCCGCGAGGTGAAGAGGGTGGGCAAGTCAGGGGACACGTCCCGGCGGGCTTTGGGATCTTGGATGACATTGAGGTTGCGTAGGGCCACCATGTCGAAGGCTTCTGTGTCCTCCTCTCCCCCTCCCTCGTCGTCATAGCGCACAATGTTCTCACGGACATCTCGCTCTTCCTCCAGGGTCAGGGGCTCCTTCCTTCGTCGCTGCATCGTCACAATCAGCAAGACAAACACTGCAGTGGAGGAGAAAGAGTGGACCAGTAATGATCAAACCTGTACATACATCACTGAGACTTTTAACAGAAGAAGGAAGAAAGGACAAACGATTTGGATTATATGTAGATACAAGAGACTTAAACTGTTTATAACTGTTTAAATATTATTAAGTCAAAACTATTTCCTTATAATATTGCCCAGTATTATAACCATATTATCTTGAACTGAAACCATATAACCATTTTCACTGTTTGACTTTTTCAGACTTTATTATTAAAAGTAGGGACTGTTTCAGCAGATGAATGATTCCTCGTGCCAACAAAAAAAATCTCCACTGGCAATGAAATAATGGGGATGACAAAAAAAAAAAGAAAAAGCTATTGTCGGATTACACAACAAAGCCTGTACAGCACTGCTGAGAACATTTCAGAACAGCCCATGTTATTCTGCAGCCTTGAAGAGTTTTGTTTGCCTTGGGAAATGTCTCTGTACTGTCCCTATTTTTTAATGGGTGGAAAACAGACTGCAAGAAAAAGAATAACAAGAATGAAGACGCTTGCTGAAGAGTCAACCTCTTGACCAAAAGGTTGCAAGTTAAAGTCTCAGAAGTTAATATGCTGTTGCAGGCACAAATACAACAATACGTAATCTGTCAGACTTCCCTATGTATAGACAACAGCAACATTTGTAATAATAATGTACATCGCAGAGGAACTAAAACATCTGACACACCAGCTAATATATCAATGCAACAAAAATGATGACGTTTCTATTAATTTTCCCAGAATTGCTTATCTGATGCAGGATTATAGTGAGCCTGGATCATCTCCCAGCATGATGCAGGATACACCCTGGACATTCTGCTGCCTAATCATAGGGCATCAAGAAAAACACACACACACTCACACACACACACACACACACACACGTCAGGTAAACATATCTTTTTGTGGACCGCTCGCTCATTTCTATGGGCAAAATGTTAATGCTAACTATAATAACCTTAAACCCTACCCTTCCCTAACCATGACCATAAGTAACCAAGCAAAATACAAGAATTTTTGCATTTTTAGTTTTTTCATTAGAGTCATAGATTTTTTATTAAATTGAGTTTTCCCTAATGGGGACCAGGAAACTGGTCCCCATAAGGGAAAAAAACTGGTATTCATCACGTTTTGGGGACATTGTGTCCCCATAAGGTAAGATACTGTATACCCGCTCACACTCTCTCTCTCGCTCTCTCTCTCTCTCACACACACACACACACACACAATTCAAATGCATGGTAACACATGTTAGCATCCTTTCCTCAATACTGAATAGTTAGAAAAACAACAGCAAAGTAAAAGCTTTGTCTATTTATATTTGCTAAAAACTGGGATAGCAGGACACACACCACCAGTGATGACAAGAAAATGCTAGACCCAAGATATGTGTATACAACCCACCCACCCTCCCACACACATACTGTACAGTACCCACACACACACCCACACACACATGCACACATACACACAGACAGGTTTGTAATTATATCTTTGTGGGGACTCTCCATTCATTTCAACTCTAATCCCAACAATGACAACCTTAACCCCTACCCAGCCCTAACCTTACACATAAGTAACAAAATACAAGACTTTTGGCATTTTTAGATTTTTGATTGCATTCACAGATCTTTGTGGGGCCCTGAAAAATGGTCCCTGCAATATCAAAATAGCAAGTTTTTATTACATTGTGGGAACCAAATGCCCCCCACAATGTAATATAAACATAATCCAGACACACAGGAAAATTCATATAAATCAACCTAAATCATGTTTTTGGCCTGTGGGAGGGAATCCAAACAAAGGAGGAAAGAACTTACATACTAGACACAGATCTGGGGCAGAATTGCAACCCCAAACCCAGAAGCTACATCATTACCCATGTAACTAACATACATCAATCAGTCTGTCATCATATATTAGTTTATCTCATTCTTAGATTGTGATACGGACTTGATGGCACCAGGGTAGATAGTTATACCTAGATAATTCCCATCCTGTGTAGATGACTTATATTACTATCAAGCATTTTTGCCTTTTTTGTTGTTATTCATTTGTTTATTTATATTATTTTGCTGTTAGAGGTATGTTTGTCCTTTCCGTTTTAAACTTTTCTCCAACACTCGTCGCATTATATAGAACAACATGTCAGAAAAAGAAAGCATAAAAATATACCTCGGATGTTATTTTTCTGTGTAAGGAGTCACTGTTTAAGTATTTTTTGTAGGGTGCCTCCATAAACGATAAGCATCTACTTAGCTATTACCTGTATAAGCACGACACCTCCTGTGACAGGACCACGCAAAACCCATGGAGCCAAATGATTTAAAAATGCATCCGCAAAGGCATCAGCCAGGCGGCGGTTTTGTCGGAAATGCTAACGCGGGGAGAAAAAGAACACGGTAGTTGATGTGCTGGGCTCAGAGATAAATTAGGTGACTAATTTTCTAATATGGGAGCAGAACAGCAGCCATAAAAAGGCAGACTACACACTTCTGGCACGGGCTCACGGGCGGTAGAGAGAGGGAATGCGGGGAGAGGCGAGAGCTGGCCCTGCGAGACTTTCAGCAACTTTGTGACGGCTCCTCCCCATCCCGGTGGATGTATTAGAGCTGAAAATAGCCACCCGCGCTGGGGCCAACAGACCTGTCTAATGATCCATCCATCAGTGCTGGCACAAGACAGTCTGAAATACTGCTCCATAGACTCATATATCTTCCCCCAGCCTTTTCCACTTTCCCTCCATTAGACAGGCCAAGCGTAGGAAAAAGGAAAGGGGGGGGGGGGCATCTTCCGCCACACAATCAAACGGAAAATGACAGAAAACAGGAAAGCAGGGATAAAGAAGTGATAGGAATTTTGGAGCAGGACTTGTCGAGTCTATAACTCCTTTGTGTATGATTGCCCTAATGGCACACTTCAGTCCCGGGAACGCACTGTTCGAAAATGGAGAGGCGGTTTATCGAACTGGCTAAAATAAACAAACTAATTAAAGCCATGGGAGGGAATCAAGGAATGAAATGTGTGCTCTGCACTAATTATCACTGTGCGCTTTATCGCGGTTTGTAATTTTCACCTCACGTTAGCTACAGTTTTCCTACCCTCTAGAAAAGCAGGAAATGTGACAAAAGAGTTTATCCTGCTAAAAAAGAGACTAACAGACAACTGCTGTCATTTTTATTAATAAGTATGTTATTGATTCAAGTGTGCCAGTCATAAGGGAAAAAAAAACACTGATCTGTCAATTCTTCCCTGAAAATGACAAGGATGTAGCAAGGGGCAGAGTTAGATTTGTGACAGGTATTCCAGAAACAATGGATAGTGACCAATTTGCAGCTCCCCTCCTATGAGCAGAGGTGTGCCTGCATATTATACATGGGAGGAAAAATAGTAAGTCCCAGAACCTGAAAGGCAGGTCGCATTTGAGATCGTCACATTTTAGCACGCTCCGAAATGAGGCACGGGTTCAGGTATGAAATGGATCAATTTAACACCGTGCTCAGTTGTTGCCTCTCTTGAATAGAGGGGAGGGAAAAAAAATCCATCAAACACAATCGATACAGAGCTGGGAAAAAAAGTTCCCGGTTGTCAGGTGAGTCTCGAAAATTAGCAGCGGCTTCTAAGGCTCTCGCTGTTTCGCTAACTAGGCCTCCATGTGCTCTGTGATGGTCTCGAATTTCCAGGGATCGGTCAGTCAGCTGATCAGGCACTATCATGGGATTTGTTAAGATGGGGGAGGCATAACAGAGGCCATAACTTATACATAGGGGCCAACTTTATCAATATCCAATGATATGTATTGAATCAGTGAGTGACAGAGAAAGGGGTTCCTTGAGGGCCAATCAGAATTCAGCTGGGATCAAAGGCCTTGTGGCTCCACCCCCGTATACATTTCTGCAACAGCTCTCATGGGCTTCTGGACTTCCTGCTCGGCCACCAATGGCCTGCACAAAGTAATTGTAGAATTTAACTCATGCAAGAAATGATCAGTGTAAATTATTAATATAGTACAATAATAGTATAATAATGATGATGGTTAGATAAACAGTTATGGATGGAAAGATGGACGAATGGGAGTACTTCTGATAAGCAACAAAATGATGAATAAATATTAAACTGGACAATACACACCTGACACAACAGAAATACTGTCCTGCTTCACTTCTGCTATCTTACCTACTGGTCTAGAAAGATCATTTAATATTGACTTGCTAATCTTTGCCAGTGTTTTTAAACATGCATAAAATTGCATTTTAGATTCACTCTGGTTACTCTTTTATGCTCCTAACAGCTCCGAGTCAGAAAAGCAAACAGCAATTTGAGTATTGAATTTGTTTTGCGCTTTAAACGGGCCGGATTTTCATGTATTGCTCTGTATTTACCTAGAGCCATTATTTACCCCGGAGTCCCGAGACACATCACTTCAATCTACATCATGCCAAGCAGTCAATAGGGAATTACGACTGAGTGAAGTGCAAATGTAAAACCAAATAAACCGAGGGCAGGATGCCTGCAAGTCAGCTGAAGGCAGTACCTCGTATTTCGTCCCCTATAAATTGTCCTTCCTGTGTGGAAGCGTGTCTTAGACAAGGGTGTGGAATTGGTAGTATGGCTACTTAAGATTGTGCTCTGATTATCCCCTATGAGCACACATTGCTGTGACCCTATTACCTCCCCAATTTCATAGCTTAGGTGTAATGAGGGCGAAAGGGCCAGAACAGGGGCGATAACGGCCGCGGTCGCTGTCACCGACACGGCCATCAGCTCGCCACTGTCTACGCTGCCCTTGAGCGATCCTGCTTTTTTCTTAGGTGGCAGCGCCGACCTGCGTGGGCCGGCCGGGTGGCACAAACAGGGCGCTACACTTTGAGAAGGGGTGAGGGAGGTGTCAGCTTCCTATTGGACGGATAAGGAAGCAATAACACCCAGTAATGTGACCGTAAAAAATCTTAGATTTGCAATCCTCTGGTACACAAAAAGCGGCCTGTAGCTGGAATGCACTAGTAGCCAGTTGTGTGAAACGTTATTTGTTTAAAAAAATATTATTTAAAGGTGATTTGTATTGACAGGCATGGACGCATAAAGACTTGGCTGCCCCCCCACCTCCCCCAGGGCCAGCCTAACCCTTTTCAGGTTCCTAAGCAAGATTTGAATTTTGCCAGGGGCGGATTAAATTTGCCATGGGGGCGCTGACGATATTTTTTTCCGAGCCAAAGCAGAGCACTGACGATAAAATTTCCCGTGCGGATTGGGGGGGGGGGCTGGCAGATCGCTCATTCTTTTTCCCCCGAGGCAGAACTCCCCCTAGTGTCTGCGAAAGTGTTCCCCATTCCCTCCCCTTATGGGCAGCCCTATTGGCAAGAATTAAACACCTTTACATTATACTTTTTAAAACAGGAACTAGAATCACTGCCCTTGAGGAAAAGAACAAAACTCAAAGTGTGTGATGATTTTCCTCACGAAGCAGCAAATGTTTTATTTCCTGATGACTGGTATTGGGGAAAATGGCGATTTTTATGTTGATTTTCTTTCCTCCCCATGCCTGACCTTGAATGGAAATTCTGAGGGTTTCTGCTCCTTTTCTTCTCCATGATGGGGGAAGCTTGGGGGAGGCCTGTGATTTACTGAGCCTGAAATAAGCATTCCTGGAGCGCTCTGATCCTCGTGGCCCATGTCTCAAGGAGAAAATATATGGAAGAGTTTCAAAATGTTTTGGGTACTCCAGACCCTGCCAGGATTTCCTAGTGATCAAAGAATAAACCAGTGGATTAGTGATATTTGGTGCTGGGATCTGCTCTTAGGTGTATGGATCTGCTTGGATCCTTAATTAGATGGTTAAGTGACGGATGGATGAATGGATGGATGGTTGAGAAATCACATATTTTAGGCTGTTTCATCCTGTGGTTTTGAAGATTGCAAAAAAAAGTGTAAAAAATTCAGTGACTACAAAAACACCAAGGCAAAAAGCCCTTCAGTGTTTATATAGTTACTGTGTTTTGCCTTTTGTAGGTCAGTATAACACATAACTGCCTAATCAGGCTGTTCATAGTCTACAAACAATGGGACCCTAGTGAGATTTCTGCTTATGGGGCATCAAATACGACTCCGAAAGCTTAAAGGCTGGGACATATGGGGGCGAGCCTAGGATATTTTAAGGTGAGGGGTGCATATAGTGGCCATAGCTCATACTGCGGAGCCAAACATATCATTAGTGAATAATGTGTTTTGAGTCAGTGAGTGACAGAGGAGCGGTCACTATAGGGGCCAATCAGTTTGTAGCAGTGAGATTGATTGCTCTTCCAAAGTATGCATTGCTGTGTACTGTAAACAGCACACAAATTACTATGCATCCATCTATCTATCTATCTATCTATCTATCTATCTATCTATCTATCTATCTATCTACATTTATTGGACCATGTCATACTGAGCTGCCCTGGACCTTGGAAAGTTCCAGAGCCCCCCAAATCCCCTCTCTCTGCAGGGAAACACAAACATGATACAATTCCCAGGCCAAGGATCCCATGGGGAACACAGCAGGTATTCCACACACACAGAACCACGCGCACAGACACACACATACACATGCGCGCGCGCACACACACACACACAGACCTGTACTCATATCATTGTGGGGACTGTTCATTCATTTCTATGGGCAAAACCCTAATCCCAACAATAACAACCTTAACCCCTACCCAGCCCTAACCTTAACCATAAGTAACTAAACAAAATCCAAGCCTTTTGGCATTTTTAGTTTTTTGATTGCAATCACAGATTTTTATTAGTGCTGTCAAACGATAAAAATTTTTAATCAGATTAATCACAGGGTTGCTGTAGATTAATTTCGATTAATCACGATTAAATATCATTGATTTTTAATCTATATTAATCGCATTTCATTTTGCATGAGCAAGCAGACTGAAGAAAAAAGGGAATATATATGCACTTAACATGTTTATTGAACATCTTGAACATGAGTCAGATGCATTCCATCTGCCACAGAAGTACAATACCATGAACCCATATCAAAAAGCAAGATTTTTTGCTTAGTCGGACAACTCGCATTTAAGGTACCTCAGTTAAAATGGTCTTTATCTTCTTTCACTTACAATTAGCCCGAACTACCGTAAATCCAACAAAAAATCTGACTAATCATGAAATCCAATTCTAGCCCGGTTAATTGCCATTGTTAGCAATATCAGTTGATAACACATTACGTGCGGTGCTTTATGTATAAAACTCCGTAGCAACACGTCCACAGATAAGTTGGACGGTATAGTGTGTGCGACCGATTTAATGAGCGACAAATGAGAAGTAGTGCTTAAGCAGTATAAAACTACAACTTTCTCTTCTGTTGATAAAAGGCGCAGCCATCTTGGATTCTGAACTCGGGATCCTCTGTGCTGCTCCGAGATATTTCTCGAATCTCCGAGAAACAGGAGCACGCATGTCATCACTTCCGACTTCAATACTCGGAATCCGACTCGGAATACAAGTTCCCAGGGCAAATGGAAAGCACAAAAACTGCCCGAAATGGGTTGCCAGAGACATTTCAGGGATTTTGAGTAATTCTGCGCTGCAGATGGATTAATTGCGTAAAAAAATTTAATCAGATTGTGATGATGAATTAATCCGCGTTAACCCATTAATTTTGACAGTCCTAATTTTTAGAAAATTGAATTTCCCCACAACATCAAAATAACAGGTTTATATCACACTGTGGGGACATTTTGACACACACACACACAGCCTCAAATCTGCACCCAGGGGAATAATAGCAAATCCCAACAGAACTCGAGTCACTATTGTTGTAGCTAAATGGAACTCGGTGTAACAATTAGTGCAATAAAGGGAAGGAAAGGTTCTAGAGCAGATTAAACATTTTCCAGTGAGGTACTTCTGTTGCTGCATTCTGTGTAGAATGTCAACCGTATAGAAGAATCCAGCTCTGGTAGCAGAAAAGGTCAAATGTTAATTAATATACATGATCTTATTTTGTGGAACCAACTTATCACTGCAAGCATGTGTTTTTAAACATCCACACTTTTTAAAATATTCTAGATTTGTAAATGTCGATTGAATTCCACCCCATCTTTGCAACTCTACATTAATCTGGGCTTCAGCAGTATGGATCTTACAGAGTCATTTTTATTCTGTCCCGATGATAGTTTAAAGGGGAAAATGGACACCCAGCAGAAGAACAGTCACTCAGTCCAATGGGAGCTTGATGGTGAGTGACAGGTCTGCCGTCTCGGGGGGATTACTGAGGAGGGGTGGGGGGATGGGGGGGTCAGGAGAGGTCTCAAGTGGGAGGAGAGGTTGCAGTTTCTGGGGGGCCCTTTGAAGTCCTGGTTCAGGAATTATGAGCGATGGGCAGGGTGAAGGGTGGGGTGGTTTGTGGTATACCCCGAGGTCAGAGGCCCCTGGGGTATTTGAGTCGCTAGAGTTCCTCCCTGCTGTTTTCCTCAGTGGGGTTAAAATTTTATTAAACAAGTTGAGGCCCCACTTCAGCAGAGGGCCCTGGGCTTCAGACATGCATTAAAGCACCCCTAACTATGCCCCAACAATAAATGTTTTATTTTTTTTCCTTAAAGAATTATTTGCACAGCAGGTCAACTAATCTGGTGTAATTCAATTTAAACACCGTAAAAAGAAAAGAGGGGTTATTAAGGACAAAGGATGTCAGCTCCTGTCAGCAGAGCGGCTGCTCGGCGCGGCTGCGTGTATCTTACCCAACAGGGTGAGGACGCATGCAAGAATGGCGACAAACGCGCCGGTGCTGAGCCCCGCGGAGAGCATGAAGGCTTCGGCGCTGCAGGACTGGGTCACACCGTCGGGGTCGCAGTGGCAAACGCGGATGGAGAGCGTGTTGGTGCTGCTCAGCGACGGGCTGCCGCTGTCCCTGATGAGGATGGGCAGCTGGTACAGGGCCTGCTCCCGCCGGCTGAACCCGCCACGCTTGGTCATGATGGACGCCGTGTTGTCTGTCATAAGCACATTGCGGGTCAAAGGTCATGATGAGTCGGACACCTGAGCGAAGAGCTTTGCCAAAATGTGCATCTTAATTTCCCTCATACACGTCTCACAGCATTTATTACAGATTATTATGAAAACACATTCTCAGTTTAATTTAAGATGTGAAATGGTTCTTATTATAGAGTCATTTAATGTCTTTTAATCATTTCGAAATTTATTGGGAATCTGAGCAAAAGTAATAAAGAAATGAGCCGTCCTAATGAAAACTGGGGATAAAATATGAGATTTCGAAATATTAAAGTGTTTTTCGTTTTTAACACTACAGCTCAATAATTTCAACGATAGCGAGAGCCTGCTGTATATGAGATTACGTTCTCTGTGATACACTATAATAATGGAGTGATACCTAGGTCCTGCCTTTTACATGCAGACTGTTGCCTCTAGATTTACTCCACACACCGTTTTCCCAAGGGAGGAAATCAGCTTTCGCTGCCCTTGACGCATGTCTTACCGCATCAGCCCCCTGTCTGGGGGCACCCACATAATCACTGTGTACAGTACCCAGCCTCATCTGTGGCTGCAGCAGACCATGCACGCTGCTGTCAGGAGAGATGCAATCACTGCACCATTTGCCGCTGTCTATTAATTACAGCAGTTTGCTAATAATATAAGTCGATTCATGTTCCAGATTCACCCCGCATTTCTTACTATAATCCACACTTTATATTCTTAGTTATGTTTGGTAAAACAAAGGGAAACCATTTAAAATCACAATAACACATTAGAATAGGAGGGAAATTTGCAGAATTTTAAATAACCGCAACCCTTACCTGGATAAGTGGTTTTGGAAATGGATGGATGGGTGGTTAATATCGATCGCTGTGAGGTAAATGCAAAGTCATGACTCTGCAGTTATAAATCATTCCGAGCTGACGCAGTCCTCACTGTCGGACTTACATAGTCAGCTTTCTGCACCAATGACAGTTGAAAGCCTTACAGAGACAAAGGATGTCCACCAGAAAACCAATTACCTTACCCTAAGGCTGATAATTCCTGTCTGTGGAGTATGCTAAAACCTCAACTAGAATATGCTTTATTGATGTAGCAATTTGAATATTCAGACAATTAATCTCAATATATAAAGTTCTGAATAAAAGGCATCCTGCTCCATGGCTGTAATTCCTGAAGGCTACAGATCTAATGGGTCAATCAAAGCCATTTGCAGAGTTAGCAGTGGATCACAAGCACTTGCATGCTAACTACTTATACTGTGCCCTGTATCTAGTAGCTAAATATGAAACTAATGGATTAATAAAGACGGTAAAGAGGTTTTTACTTTAAGGTTATTTGCCATTTTAAATTGGGAAGATGGTTGTATACTGTTTTAAATTGGGTAGATGGCCTTATTTATAAAATAAATGCAACTGAGGTGTTAGTTATAATCACAGACAAATTATAAATAAATCTTTTGAATTACATTTAATCATAATGGGCGTGACAGAGAATGCCACGGGATGTAGCATAACAGTCATTTTCTGGAAAAACACAGCAAATTTTATAAGATTTACATGCATAAAATGTTTCAATACCAGTCTACCACCCCAAAAAAAAAAACGAAACGCAAGAAGGTGAAAAATGAAAAGAATCTCAGTACAGAGGCCAGCGATGAACTCTGTATCCTCCGAAGGGAGTAAGAGGGCTCGTAAAGGTTTGTTATGGTCATCCAAGCAGTCTTATTTAGATACATCTTGGGTTTAGGGTAACAGCAAATGGGACGATATTCAATGATACATAGAATATTGCATATGTGGGAGATGCAGGGGCCCATTTATCTGGGCCAAAATGCACCCGTCCATATACCTGCCAAGGCCGCATGCCATTGGCCACTGACCTTTGTTGTCTCTGAGGGTGAAGTTAAGGTTGCCAGTAGCGGTAGTAGTCAGGCCGAAGAGGAAGCGGTGTCCACTCAGGGGCTCGTCTTTGTCCACCGCACTGATGGTCTGGATGATCTGTAAATATATGCTGGTTCAGACCTTCTTGAGAACAGGAATGTTTGGGATCAGTGGCAGCCGGTGGCTAAAGAAATGGCAGCACTTGGCAAGGCCTGTGCCAGTATGTTCACCAAGTCTAATTGTGTCAGTATTTATGCATGAATGTATATATACATGTATAAGACCTCGTCACCAACGTTTTCTATGTTAAAAATGGTGTACTCTGCAGCGGTATATACCACCACTCAAATCATGCGTTTGCATGCCTCCCCCAGAAAAAATTTGGTGCCCCCTGTTGGCCACAAACAGTCGTTACACAAGGGGCACATGGGGCCCCAAACTGACTTTTTAAGTGGGGCCCGGAAATAATAAAGAAGAACTATATATATAAGACCATGTTTTTAGGTTGATTAGGTTTGTTTTTACTTCAGAATCAAAATTACTATTAACAATATAAATACAGAAGATCGGTCTGCACACATTAATTTTTAGCTATGTATATTTATCAGGGTGACCTGAATATGAAATATATATAAAAAAAGTATTTCTCAGGCATAAACTTAAGATCAGTTTCCTTATTGCAGCATGCGTGCAATACAATGATTAAAACACAATTTTAAATATTAAATGACCTGTTATAATTAAACCCTAAATTCAATTGCTGCTGTTAAATTTAATGAATTGCTACAGATAGCCTAAATAGCATGTTCTACCATGAAATGACAGCAGTCAAAACATTTTATTTTTAACTAAACGGGAGTAAACACTGTCTGTGTGCAAGGTAATGTAGATCTTAGGATCATTACATTACAACAGTGCATGATTTAAGGTGAGGCAGCATATGATTATCTGTATGGTTGGGGAATCTAGGATGCCTGCATATGAGTTGACTTAGTTGGAAAGGCATTTTAACCAGTTGTTTTTTCTTTCTAACTTTTTTCCTCATTAAACAAAAAAAATTACCAAGAAGTTATTTTATTACACACCTTAGACATAACAAAATAGTAACACCTGCTCCAGCAAAGTTATTTAAAGCCAGGCTGAATGATCTGGAAAGCCACGTTGGCATTCATTAGGGAAACAATGAACGGTTAGTTCTGGGCAATCTTCTCTGATGTATCTGCAGTAGCTTCCACTGGAGTCGCAGTGAGCAAAGCATTATGTAAAGACATAAAATCACACAGAGACATAAACTTTACTGCTGGCACGCTACCTGTTGGGATGACACACGGGGGACCCATAAATCACAGATTTAATGGGATTCTGTGTTTACACACTGCTATGTGTGAGAACAAACCAATATAAAAATGGCTGTGACTTAATCTTAAGCAGTACAATTGCAATAGGAAGGGTAAACACATAGGCAGCAATACTAAAACCTCATGCTTACGGATTCTTATGATGGAAAACAAGATGGAACTCTTGTAACGTGACAAAGCCGAGTAACAGTTCTGCAATGAAAGAGTAAATTAAACATGCCTTTTGAATGCTTAACGGCAACATGCCATAGGTTATTAGTGTAAATTACTCTTTTTAAGGTGTGGCGAAACTGGGCTTCGGATACTTGGTAATGCAAGCCATCTGTTTCTTACATCCGTGACGGACATGTCTGATTTTCCAATTAATAAAACCTCTTTTCCGTTTCTGTTTCATTACTATGGATATGAGGTGGGTGTATTTTTCGGCCTTCATCACCTTCTCTCGCCTCGCTTAACTCTGTTGTCGATCATAACTAAAACATTTCATGAGGACTATTTAAGCTATGCATCTATTTCCCCTTAAGGAGAAATACTTAAATTACAACACAAACCACTCACATCCAAAGACATAAATCATGTATAAATGCTAACATATACAATGTCACAAAATCCATGCATGTACCTTTTGTTTAACATGTTACAGTCACTCCTCCAGATTGATGAATTTCACATTTGCAGTTTTGGTTGTTCGTGAGTTTGGTGAACAATTAAATCTGAATAATTTTGGACAAAGGGTAAGCCAAATTAAAGATATATTAGCAATACTGAAAATGATTGGATCACATAAAATCGTATCTTTAATGTGTATATTATGTGTTTTGATATTTGATAGTGTAATATATTGCAGAGTGGCATTTGAAGAAGGATTCATAAACTGTAAATTGGGCTGCCGTTTTTTCGCAGTGTTTTGTGTGAATAATGTAATGCATAGTGGTCACGCTTCGTGAGGAAATGTTTAAGAGCCATACAGTAAGTGGTAATGCAGTGCTTCTTGGGATAACCTTCTTTTACTAAACGCATGTCACACTTTAGATTTTTCTTGAAATCTGTGTTCATATTGTGTGAGAAAATGTTTCTTAAGAGCCATAAGTAGTGATGCAGTGCTTCTTGAGATAACCTATTATTAGTAAATGCATGTCACACTTTAGCCATGTCACACTAAGTTTTTCTTGAAATCTTTGGTCATATTGTGTGAGAAAATGTTTCTTATGAGCCATAAGTGGTAATGCATTTAGTTGAAGAAGGTTATCCCAAGATGCACTGCAAGTTGCACTTCAGCCATTTTGGATAGGTTTTGGATAAGTCTCGAGATCCCCAAGGTGCATCATTTACTCTTTCCTCAGTAAAACATATTAGATTATATCAAATGATGTCAGATTGAGTACACGTGTAAAAAACAATATTTAAAATTGGACCTAATCCACCATGTAGCTTTTGAAATATTTACATAATACCAAAACATAAAAGATATACTTTTGTATTTTAAAGTGTATACTTTATTTTTGGTAAAAATAAAAAACTGTGGAAACCATGCATCTTGACTTGGGTACGCTGTGGATCTTTGTCTCGCCAAGCTACCTCACTGACATGTTAGCTGTCTCCATGACTGCGGAATCTCACGTATGGAAACATATTGATTTCATTGTTTTTCACAGTGATGAAGAAATGTTGCTTCCAAATTTCACTTAGTGTGTGATTTTGTGTGCCTTATGATGGAGTGGCATCCTGTTCGGAGTTGCCCTCACTCCAGATTTACTACAGTCCTGTACAAGACAAGCAGTGATGTAAAATGATACATTTGTTTATTTAAATATGATATATTGATTTATTTAAGTATGAAATATTTTATGATAGTGTCTTGGGTAGTCATGGTTTATCTGTGGTTTAACCATGGTATTTGTTGTAAACTGTAGTTGTCAGTTGGAACATTCCTGCTGAATAGCCATAATGATGGTAATCCATAACTCCATATACACTACCTAGCAAATTGTTGCCAAGTGCAAGGGTGAAATGGTTCTCATTCTCATATACAGTGGATCCCCCATATGTTTGTTCAATTACATTGAGCTAGTTATCTGACTAAGAAAGAAATCCTGCTACTTTAAAATTTCAGTGTTTTCTGATTTTCTGTTGCATTTCTTGAATTGTTGTGTTTTCTGAAATGTTGATGTGTTTTGTGAAATATCATTCTGATTTCCAAAATGTTATGTTTTGTTAATGGCATTATTTTTTCCCGAAACCCGAAGGCCACTTTACTCTTCGCACTTTGTTTTACCATCCCACACTTTGATTGTACATCTTCATTCTACTTTTATTATCTCATATTTTTATCCCATTCGATCTTTGTCTTGTTTTGCAGTCTTATTTTATAACTAAGTTTATTGTTATCTTGAGCTTATTTATTCCTGTTTTATTTTATTTTGTATTTGTATGATGTGATTCCTCTTAAGCACAATCCTGAAAGTGGGTGGAAAGGCTCTTCATTGTGCAGATGTGTAGTGTTTGGACAATTGACTAATGAAATAGAACAGTAGTCAACATTTATGAATGAGACAAACATTAGCATTTTAATTTACTTAAGGTGCACAAGTGACACGTGTAATTATATTATGTGTCTATGAACATCCATCTTCTTTAATCACTTATTCATTACAGGGTCATGGTGAACCTGGAGTTTATCCCGTGAAGCAAAACACACAAAGGTGCAATGTCAGTCCATCACAGAGCAAAAGCCTGTACACACTCAAACTCACACACTATTGGGAATTATTCATTGAAAAGAAAATTTCCAAAACTCAGTAAATTTTTTGTTGATTTTCAGATCAGACCTCCATGATCTAAAGTTGGACTTCCTCATCACAGTTTTGGAAGCTCGCTCTACAATTTTGAGATTGTAATTCACCATACAGTTTATGCTGTGCTAAAAGTAATCAGCTGCTATAACAGCTGGGCTAGGATGCTAAGAGATGGAACAGTGAGGGGTATGAAGCAATCTACCAGCCAATAAGGACCAGTGATGTTATTCCTAAGGTTGAAGCCAGGAGACCACTCCAGGCATAGGTAGGACTGCCATCAGAAGGTAGCAATCTGATTTACTGGAGTTCTCTGTAGGGGCATTCAAAGCCCATTGTACATATATTAGCTTAGTGTTTCTCTGTCTTCAGGACACAATTTTGTTCCCTCCCAGCTCCCAGTCAATCACGAACACCAAATACCTTGTACATGTGCATTGGGAGCTGGGAGGGAGCAAAAATGTGGACTGACTGGGACCCCTCAAGGACTGCGTCGAGAAACTCTGCATTAAAGTATATATGTAATAGGGAATGTAGTTCACCGGGTATTTGGTGTTCAGTATTGCTTGATTGTTTGGTACAGGTGTACTGGGAGCTGGGAGGGGGCAAAAATGTGTATGGGGGACCCTGAGGACTGTGTTGAGCAATACTCAATTAGGTGAACATGTCACTTGCAAATACACAGAACTGATTCTCCTTAGTAAGGACTAGATTTATTCAAGTCATACGGCTTACTAAACATGCAAAATGTTTTGGCCTCTTACACAAGCTGTGGTTTAATCGCAGGTTAGTTATAATAATCATCATGTGATCATTATAAGAACACTTCCTGAGGACAAATCCAATATGTGGTGGATCTTTGGGTTAGGAGTCCCGTGTTTCTGTATCAGGAAGATCACACATTAAAATCCTGTGCTTGGCACACTAGTCATACTGTATCACTACTAGGCCCTTAAGCATGGCCCTT